CCCAATACTATCACTATACTATTTGAACTGCGTGCTGAAAACAAGCTGCATAGTTCCTCTCTTCTGTAGCCAAGAGCATGCGCCATCCATGATTTCCTAAAACAAAAAAATTTGATTTGTCGAACCACAGGACACTTTTCCTTTCACCTGAGTCCATCTTTAATAAGCTTGGGCCCAGAGAAGGTGCTGGTATATCCTGTTTATATATGGTTTCTTCTTTGTATGGTAGAGTTTTAACTTGCAGACAATGTGTTTCAGAAATGTTCCTGAGCCCATGCAGTGATTTCCACTCCAGAATCATGTCTGTTTTTAATGCAGTCCCATCTGATGGCCCGAAGATTACGGCCAGCCGATATTAGTTTTTGGCCTTGTCCCTTGCATGAAGACATTTATCCAGATTCTCTGAATATTTTACCATTATGTACCGTAGGTAAAGAAATCCCCAAGTTCTTTGCTATTTTGTGTAGAGAAACGTTATTCACAAAGTGGTGAACTCCTCCTCATCTTTACTTCTGAAAGACTCAGCATCTCTGAGATGCTCTTTTTATACCCAATCATGTTACTGACCTGTTGCCAATCAACCTAAGTAGTGAGATGTTCCACCAGGTTTTTTTAGCATTACACAACTTGACCAATCTTTTGTTGCCCCTGTTCCTACTTTTTTGAAATGCATTGCTGCCATCAAATTCACAACTCCATGTTCATGCCAGTGCAATCTTCTTAATACAATGCCAGCATATTACTAATTTTGTTACTTGTGCCCATTTTCTATTTTGGTGGTCAGAAATGAAAGTGACGTGGGTGAAGTGGTGCTTGCAAAGAGCCAGTTGCACTTGCACTGCCACCTCCTCAGACCTACAAATGCATGGGCACGGTATTTTCCAAAAACAAGCATAAAGATGGGTCTAATTACTCACAGCGCAACTCTGTGGACAAGGAGACGACTATTTCTAGCACCTCAGTTAAATATAAATAGGTAACCTCCCCCCAGTTACATTACTGTAAGGGGGGACAGTATAAACAAACAAAGGAAAAAAGTAGTCGTGGCTACTAAATTTAAATCAAACACACACTAAACGTTTTAATTAACAGAATTATGGAATGTTTAGCTATAAAAGTCTAATTGGCTAAGCTGCATTAGAAGCCATTGTAAAATACCATTCATTTAAACTCCAGGAACAATAAGGATGATACAGTTGGAAAATGTAATGTAGATTTGTACAGATGATGGTCTTCAAAATCAGGAAATCTATCTGTGAAATCATTTTTCCAAAACATACAGCAGTTGCCTAAAATACAGCCAATATAAAGTGATGCTGCGGTTCTCATAATGTAATAGTTATGAAATGACACGCTCTTGGCAAACCAAGCAGCCATGCGCGCCCATAGAACTGCATGCCTGCACACACATGACCCACCCATCAGCTGAGCTCTGTATTAAAGGAACAATGTGATCAAGCACAACATTAAGACCACCTCCTTGTATCTACACTCATTGTCCATTTTATCAGCTCCACTTACTATATAGGTGCACTTTGTACTTCTACAGTTACAGACTGGAGTCCATCTGTTTCTCTGCATACTTTGTTAGCCCCCTTTTACCCTGTTCTTCAGTGGTCAGGACCCCCATGGACCCTCACAGAGCAGGTACTATTTGGGTGGTGGATCATTCTCAGCACTGCAGTAACACTGACGTGGTGGTGGTGTGTTAGTGTGTGTTAGCCAGATGCATGGCTGGTCAGAAATGAAAGTGACGTGGGTGAAGTGGTGCTTGCAAAGAGCCTTTTATTTATTTATTTATTTATTTATTGATTGTTCATTTTATTAATGTGATTATGTTTTTTGGGGGGCTGAAAAGCATTTTGAGCTGTTCCAGTTGTGAAGTGTTAATAAAAACAAAATAAAAAAATAAAAATAAAAAAAAGTTATTATAACTGTAATTATTGTTATTAGAAATGAGGTCAACTATTTCTGACCCTGAATATGCAGACTTTTACTTAAAAAAACAATAAATAAATAAAAAAAATAAATAAGAGTGTGCACGCTTTCATTCACACTAAGTTTACAATCACTATGTGCCATTGCTGTGAGGATTTTATGGAAAAGCACTATATATTGAAAAAATATGAAATATAAGTTAGACCTGTTTAATGTTAATGTTAAGTTAAGTTAAGGCCTGTTTAATTCTCTGTTGATTTCTTTTCAGACAGTAGAGCCTCTAACCTCCCTGCTCACACTTCACTTTGGGACTAATGCTTCCTGTCTCCCCCTGTAGGAGGGTCAGTGCACTACACAAAAATGTTCTTCTACCAGTGGCTTGCAGTTACATATTTTCACCAGAGAGGTCTCCAAATCCTCAGCCTTAAACAGTGCTGCTTAAAATAGAAACGTGCCAACCAATCATATCCGGTTTCCAAAACAGAAAGAAAAAAAACACAACAAACACAGGCAACAGAGTCTGTTATCCAGATTTTCACCTGCAAAGGTGAATAAGATTCTGAGATATCAAGACAGAGTCGAGCTGTTAGGACGGAATCTTAAATGCTAAACTACCTGAGGTTATTAGTTGTCAAATCCAGTCAAATTTTATTTATATAGAGCTTTTTACAACAAGTGTTGTCACAAAGCAGCTTTACAGAAAATCCAAGCACCAATGAGCATCACCAAGGGCAACAGTGGCAAGACGAAACTCCCTAAGAGCAAGAGGAGGACACCTTGAGAGGAACCAGACTCAAAAGGGGAACATATCCTCCTCTGGTCGACACAGAATAGCAAAAAAATAACACAAACAGAGAAATAAGAATAAGATTTACAATTAATATGCAATATTGAATACAGAGAAATAGAAAAAAAAAACAGCCTGTCACTGAATAGTATTTAAATTAACCATATCAGATGTCTATTGTTAGAGGCCTGTAAGAGTAACAGTGAGAAATAGGTCTTTGAAAACCAGTCACTGTTACTGTTAGGAGCACTTCACCGTGAAAATGCTGGAAAACAATCAGAACAAAACTGAATGGTCTACCACAGATGTTAATGTTGAACTTCAAACTAAAAGTGAAGTACAAAGCCTGAGTAGAGGAAAAAATAATAAACAAATAATAAACAAAATGTCTCCATTGATCCACAACTTAATGTCATGGTCTTTATTTCATGTGGAAACTAGTGAGCTTTCAATGATGAATTATATGCAGTGATCATCATTGACCGCTCTCATACTGTTTGCTGTCAGATCCTCTTAACAGCTCTTTAACAAATACTTTTCTTAATTTCATGAAAACTTTATTAACATGACTTTAGATGTCAGATGTCATGTTTCAGATGTCCTCTCCTGAAAATGGTGCATAACAAACAAAAGAAATATATTTGTTCAGACATAGACCATAAAATATATAAACCATCCATCCATCCATCATCTAAACCGCTTATCCTTCTGGGTCGCGGTGGGGTGCTGGAGCCTATCCCAGCTGTCATTGGGCGGAAGGCAGGATACACCCTGGACAGGTCGCCAGTCCATCGCAAGGCAGACAGACAGACATACACAGTCACACACACTCATACCTAGGGGCAATTTAGCACGTCCAATCAGCCTGACTGCATGTTTTTGGACTGTGGGAGGAAACCGGAGTACCCGGAGGAAACCCACGCAGACACGGGGAGAACATGCAAACTCCACACAGAAATGACCCTGGTCACCCGGCCGGGAATCAAACCCAGGCCATTCTTGCTGTGAGGCGATATATAAACCATGAACTATTTAATTTTGTCTGTGTGTGTGTGTGTGTGTGTGTGTGTGTGTGTGTGTGTGTGTGTAGTAATCATACCTTCTGATAGTCATGAACACATTTCATCACCTCTCTGAAATACACCCACCTCTTTTGCTGCAAAAGGAGCTCATCTTTGGTTTGAATTATTTTCTTTTTTAAATGGAGGGAAAATAAGTTCTTTTAAAAAAAAGTTTTTTTATTTTATTTGTTTTATTTATTTGTAAATACATAAAATTGGGGTCTCTGGGAACACAAATAGGCGGTAAAGGCATTCTTAATAGACCATGAGCAGTAATGTTATGAATATCGAAGTAACTTTATTAACAGTTCTGACTTACTTTTATTACAATTAGATGAAACCATTTATCCAGAATGTTGTATACAGTGCACTGGTATTCAGTCATGATGTTTACGTTCATATTTGCGAGAGCGCGAAACATAAAAAAAGAGAGAGATCATATCACTCCCATTATAAGGTTCTGCTGCTAGTTTTTAAGGCAGTAAATGATAAAGAACCCGCTTACATCACAGAGTGTCTGTCTGTTTGTGTTCCAACATGTGATCTTAGATCTGCAGATAGTGGCCTTCTGCAAAAACATTCCATAAAATACAAATAACGTGGAGAGACTCGTTCAGTTATTCTGCTTCTAAACTGTGGAGCTCAATTCCACCTTTTATTAGACAGTCAAGCTCAGTGCTCACTTTTAAGAAAACATCTAAAAAGCCTCTCTCTCTCTCTCTGTTTCATTTTAATTAATGAATCTATCTTTTTCATTTATTTTTTTCATTTTGTGTCATACTCTCTATGTGTTAAACACATTTGCAAATCAATAAAACTCACTCTGTCACTCAGTTTTAACCATTTTTAGTTGATTGTATTTTTATTTACACAGAATGGAAAAGTGCTAACCTGGAGTGAGTAAGTAAAAAATACCCAATTAAATTATAAGGAATTACACACTATTTAGTTCTGTACAAAATACATTACATGACCAGACGTATCCAGACACCCCTTCTAATTAGTGAATTCAGCTATTTATTTACATTTGTGTGGCTTTGATGCTGATGATATAAACACTTCTTTTTCTGTGTTTTTTTCTTCTTACTTTGCTTCCAGCAGTATAAACACTCACACATACATACTTTTGTCCACAGAGTAGATGTGCTGTAATGGGTGTGGCTTCACATTTGCAGTATGGTTTCATCAAACTGTGTGTGTTTGAGTGTGTGAACGTGCTTCAGAAGAGCTGCAGATGGACTTCACGTGGAGTTCCACTTCTTCATATACGCAAGACTGAATAGAAATATTTATGAGATCACATCACATGCAAATCTTTCAAAATAAACTGGTTAATTAAAAGTAGTCTTTGAAAAGGAAATGATGTGTTTTACCTGTGGGTTTTTTTCTTCTGTTGGTGTTTTGGATGTGCAACAAATCTTTCTAAATACAAATCAACAAATATAATTAACAACAATAGCAAGCAAAGAGGTGTAAATACAGAGAATAATGATGACTTCTGCTGCATCAAATCTGGAAGTGTGAAAAGGATCTATTAAACAAAATATATACAACACATATACAGTACGAAATGAAACAGCCTGTTAAGACCTTCATGATTATGATTACACTGGTGTGAGTAGAAAGACACATAACCAAATGACTTCTTCTATATCAGTGGTCACAGTCTGACCAAAAGTTGGCAGGTATGTTCCATAACAAAGTTAAGACTCTAGAAGTGTCCTACCTAAACTGTCCACGATTCCTGTGTATGATGTAGAGGCTGGTCACAAGCTTTATGATGGCCCAGCTGGCGTAAACACCCAGAAGAACAGAAGGCCATTTAAAAGTCTCTGGAAGAAGCAAATATAACAGCAGGTAAAATATCATCATATTATTAGATCACACCTTTAGCATAGGGCTGTAGTATTAGGAAAGAGTGAAGGGCTAAAGAGAGGTTAATGGTAGAAGTCTGTCTGTGTCCATATGATTCATTATAGAACTCTTTACAATATTGTTACAAAGCAACTTTACCAAAATCCATGTCTAAAAACCTAATGAGCCAGCTGAGAGCGGCAAGGAAGAAAGCATGAGGGTGAAATCTTGAAAGGAGCATTGAAAGAAAAGTCCTTATTCTCCTCCTAAATTCTATAATTGAGTTGTAATTAGTGTTAGAGAAAGATGTATACAGTCATACAATCTCCATGGATAAACACTGACAGTAGAATGAGTTGACTTTCAATGTGGCACTATCATAGGATGCCACCTTTCCAACAAGTTCATTTGTCAAATTTCCGCCCTGCTAGAGCCGCCCTGGTTAAGCGTTATTATTGTAAAGTGGAAATGTCAATCACACAAGATCACAGAATAGGACCACTGAGTTCTAAAGCATGTAAAACTGTTCTCAGTTGCTACACCTTACAGAGGGCCAAACTGTCTGTGGAAGCAGTGTTAACACAAAACTGATTGTCAAGAGCTTCATGGATTGAATTTCCATGGTTCATTAACCACACACAGGCCTAAAATCACCATAGTGATGCCAGACATTGGATGGAGTGTGAAGTAGAACACCATTGGACTCTGAAGCAGTGAAAACATTCTCTAGAGTAAAGATTTACATTTCAACATTTTCACAGAGCCCTGACCTCAACCCCATCCAGCATCTTTGGGAAGTACTGGAATGCTGAATGTTTTGGTGTCTACATACTGATATACCTGGAACCAAGCCAACCAAACAATGTCCCAGTAGATGGAGAAAGACAGTGAAAACTGTACAACTGTAGAACTAAAACCTTGGCCACATGAGGGTCAGAGCACTTCAGAGAGAGGGAGATCTTGCCACTATCAAAGGCAGAGAAGATTAGAACCTTCAGGTGAGTTTTTTTCTCACAAATCTACTGATGAGTGATGAAAGCTTTTATGACATGATGTTAACAAAAACAACCACAGCAGCACTGAGGTCACAGCTTCCGGCCCACTAGACCCTCTATATTTACAGTGTGGCCTGAAAAGACATACAGACCAACTCCTAATCTCCTGTACATTTCTGTTATCAGTGCTTGTCATGTATGTGGAGAAGTGCCTACCGTTGCCTGTAAAGATGGTGAATCGAGTCTCTGGCCACTTGGAGTGGCTGGCAGCTACACAGGTCAGGTTTTTGTCAAAGGCATTTCGAGGCAGCTGTAACCGGCTCGTGACTATGAAAATTCCACTAGCTTCTCTGGATGAGTTTGTCTCAGGTAAAGAGGAGTTCGACAGAGGTTCCCATAGGATAGAAGCTTCTGGTAAACTCTGAACTTCGCAGATGGCAAAAGTGTGGCCACCTTTAGTTTCCAGCCAGCCAGCCATCTTTGGTTGAACTAATGGCAGAAAAAATAGACATTTCAAAAGAGAAATATGAAGTTTCTGGCATGAGATCATCATCTAATCTAAAGGTCAAATGACATTCTTAGAAATTATATTAATGATATTCTACTATATATATTAATATCATGCTCTGACTGCACTGAACTTGGGGCTGTGTGAGCTATTTTTCCAGTAAAGTCCATCACAAACTAACAAAATAATCATTTCACACATTTTTGCACAAAACTATGAAATAGTTCTATGCAATGAGTTCCACAGTGTTTCCCAGTGCGTAGATGCTTCTGCTAAGCTCTGAACTTTACAAATGGCAAAAAAATGTCCATCTTTGGCTTCTAGCCAGCCAGACATGAGTGAAGGGGCTGATGTCCAAATGACAAATTGTGCTAATTCACCACAGTTGCATGCAAAATAACAAAGCAGCTACATTTCACATTTTTACTCAAATCCCTCAAATCCCTACGCAGAGTGATGCTTTACTGATTAAGGCAATAATATATAAAATAAAAAGAAGCTGCAACAGAATAACATATAACACACACCTCTGAGATGCTGTTATACAACAGTGTTTGCAAAGTACAGAAAAGCAGAAGCAGAAAATCCTCACCAAAGTTAAGATTTTCACCAGAAGAAATTTGGAAATTTCTGAAATTTAGGATAAAGTGACCACTGTTGTTACTTACAGTGAAAAAAAGTGTTACAGTGTTACAGTGAAAAAACATGCTACCCTTTTTAAAATAGTGACATAGAGAGTTTAAGACCAGTGCCACAAAAACATTGTAGATCCATAAAGAACCACACACACACGCACACACACATACATCTTCTAAACCGCTTATCCATCTGGGTCGTACTGGAGCCTATCCCAGTAGTCATTGGGCGGTCCATAAAGAACCTTTTTTTTTTAAAATAAAATGCTTGAAAAACCTTTTAAAGGTTCTACATAACGTTAAGGTTCTTTACTAATAGAAAGGTTTTCTAAGAACCCTAACATTTTGTGGAGGTTCTTTCAAAGAGTTCTCCACACTCTCATATCTCATTTACAAAAATTGTCTAAAGAAAGGTTCATTAATGAACCCAAAACAGTTTTTCTATGGTATCACACCAAGAACATTTTCTGGCTCCTTTATTTATAAGAGTCCATAGAGTCCATTTCTGCAACGTAAAACAAATTAAGCCATTTGGTAAATCAAAATAACAAGAAAGAATGTTTCACATCCCAAAATTAACAGCTAGCATCTAATAATTATGGTGTAGTAATTGTGTCAAATTGTGTTTATTCAGAACTTTTTCATAATCATTTATATAATAAACAATGGCTCCTTTTCACTCTTACTATTGAATGTTCACTTGTTTAATTTTTCATTGCAGTTTATTAAAGCTAAGTACTAATGTAGGCTTAATACACCTTCCTCAGTGTCTTATTTTGGACAATAGTATTACTCTACAAGATGTGTCCTCAGAAAAGCCATCTGTAGGTTTACTCCATAAACTGTACACTGGCATTGAGCTTACCCCATGCAGACACATATATGTTTTCCACGTAGCCCCCCGCATGGTAGGTCACATCACAGGTGTAATTTCCTTCATCTTTAATGGAAAAGTGAGGGATGATCAGACTGTAGTCTCCACCTTTACTAATATTAATCTTCTTTCCATCTTGGCACGTGTCAACATTTAAGTCATTTCTGGCCACAGCAATGCTGCAGTTCTTCTCTTTTAAGCTGATTTTCCAGATGACATAAATCATCTCACTCCATGCTATCTTTGTGTTGGTGCAGAGTAAAGTGACCCTGCTGTCCACTTCAAAGCTCTCATTCCTGAAACCTGTAAAATGTGTTAAACATAATTTAATAAAATGACTTACTCTAAGATTCATTAATACATTTAACATTAGGTATTAATGTTAAATGTATTAATGGTATTAAGTATATATATATATATATTTTTTTTTAAATGCTACTTTTTGAATATGATTTTTTTTTCTGCATATCTCATCACATTTACACCTCAATGCTGGACTGGCCTAATCCCTTAGTGCAAAAGTTTACATTTTAATATTTTTAATTTAGTTTAGCCAAACATTATTATTATTAGTAGTAGTAGTAGTAGTATATATATATACTGTTATAACACATACACACATACGCATTTGTTTTAAGTTTTTGAAGATTTGTATTTTACTGAAATTTAATTGAATTTCAAGAGAATTTGAATTTACAATTCATTAAAAAAGGGATAAAAGCAGATGGGCTCACTATTCTGGGTTATATAGAGTGTGATCAGCTGGTACACAATATGTACAGTACTGGCCTCTAAGCCGGTTAGAAGAACACAGCTTTGGTTCCCAACCACTCGATGCCCCCAGCCGCTGTACAGATTTCTTTAAATTAGCACACCTGATTTACCTTAATGAAGCACTGATCAACCAGAGCAGGCAATGGATAATAACTACAATAAAACTGTAGCTGCCTCGGAAATGTTTAAGCAGACAATGCATAAAACCACTATTAATTGTATTCAAGTTATTTGTATTTAATGTTTTGAACATCATGTACATACGTACATACTTAAACATTATATATAAACATTGATTAAACATTAATCCTGCATTAATTCAAGTGTTAGTTCTGTTTTTGTTTACCTTCAAGCTTTACTGTTGTAGGATCAGGGCTGTGTGGTGTTTTGTTAGGATCCAGAGAAGTTCTGTCACCGTGTCCTGAGAGTTAACAGTCCATAGAGGGTTAGTAACAGGTTAATATACATGCAGCATCATTTGTTTCATATCTAGTAGGTTACATTGTGTAAATGTTAGTCATAGAAAATAGGAATCATTAGATTGTGTCACTGGGTTCCAGAGTTACTTTGTTAGTCGGCCAACTCAAGATGAGAGAAACCATTCATTCTGCAGAACAACTGAAAGCTGAGAAGCTAAAACAGAAAAAAAAACTTGCAACTGACAGAATATGAAAGCATAAATAAATCAGGTAAAATAAGAGAAAACATAAGATGAACAAACCTGTTGTGAGATTTCTTGTGAGACAGACAGCCAGAACAAACACGGCTCTCGACATCCACTTATTCTCCATGGCGCTGATATCTCTCGTTTTTCTTCACCTTTCTAGTGCTTTTTTTGGTCTGTACTGAACTTTTTGATGTCAGCGCCTCATGTATGGCCCGTTTCCCTCCTCTGAACCCGACACGCTTCTGAAGTGCTCACTGTGATGGTGCTGTCAGAAGAGTCAGTGTCACGCAGGTCTTTCGCCCTGGCTCTTGTCTCCTGTTCTAGAGCCTCAGACAATCTCAGCAAGGCTTAAACACTGAAGCTAAAGCTCTTTTAAACTTCACGGCGTGGCAGCGTCCCTCTGTCTCTGTCCTTCTGAGTCTGGCTTGTTTGTTCTTTGAGCTTTTGCCACCTTCAGCACTGTGACGTGTCCTGTGATACACCCCTCTATTTCTTTATTGCATTTCTCATACAGCTCCTGTCTATGACCATGTTGACTTCCTGCACACTAAACCACGACTGTCACATGAAGACATTTTCCCATGATTGGGTGAACTGTTCAAAAGAAGTAGGTGCTAAAACAAAGTTTATATATTAATTTGTGGCAGAGATGTGTCCTTGAAACCTGCCTCAAACCTTAAAACAATGTTAACACATCTGCTGGTAGAGTAGCTTGTGTCGAGTAATGATCAGGATCCTTTACCTTCACAAGATCTGAAAAGTGCTCCAGAGGCCAAACACTCTAAATCGCATTCATACTGTTTCCCAGTGCTGCAAATTAAATCTTACATCTGTGCTGTGACAGCCTGGTAAACACTGTATCCCATGAACCTTGACTTTTGGTCCAGGGGTTCACCGATTAGTGAACATTTGTTAATATGGACATTACAAGTGAGAAAGTTGTGTTTGTTATGTAATTCTGCTTTTCACTTCTGTCAATATAAATAATCAATATGTGTGCAGATGCATGAGAAAGCAAGACAGAATGATCTGATAAGTTCAGCATGTATGTTGCAGTCGTGTTTTGTAGTAACAGGTTAGATGAGATGCGGTTTGAGCTGCCCCTTGAATATACTTCTTTCCCGGAGTCAGAAAGCGGTTAGTAGTTGCAGCTCACTCTGACTGCCTAACTCAGCTTCGAGAGTACAGCGAGCAACATCACATATAACATACAAACATGAAAATGGAATAATTATGTTTTAAAGTCACAGCAGAATTTTTACTGTTACATCTTCCATCAGTTTGTGACTATTAGTGTTCAGCAGAGACAGTGAATGTGCTGAAATGTCTCTGATTACATTTGCACATTTAGTGCAAACACGGTGGAGTTGATGGTGTGTATTTTTATGCTGATATGTGGTAAAACTCCACAGAACCTCACGAGTGCAATATTAGTCATCACTGCATGTTCAGATTACAAAAGACTCATTAATTATAATAATAATGCCACCCTAATCCCAAAAAGTTGAGACAGTGTGTGAAATACTAATAATAACAGAAAGTAAGGATTAGTTTATTCTTCATTAAATATGCATTATACCTGCATTAAATTGAAAATTACACAAAATACACAATTTTGTTTTATACATATAGTATATGTATATGTACAATTTTGTACATATATATATATATATATATACATATATATATATATATATATATATGTATATATATATATATATATATATATATATATATTCAAGTCTTTAGCTGTGCATCTATACAGGCCCTTTGTTGTCGTATTAATAAAACACTTTTTCAACTAAGGACAGTTCTAGACTGCAGGCCGGTCAGTCTAGCCTAGCACCAGCTGCTTTGATTACGCAGCCTTGCTGCTATAACATATGCAGAATGTGGCTTGGTGTTGTCATGTTGGAATAAGCATGGACATCCCTGAAAAAAGACGTTGTGTAGAAAGCAGCATATGTGTCTCTAAAATGTGTTCACCATTAATGGTCATCCTGATATTGTAGAGTGAGAC